TCTTTTCCTTGGCAACACTCCCCGCCGCCGGAAAACTTTCGCTCTCTGTGTAATACAAAACCTGGGCTCGCTTTTCTTGTCTTTCCTCGTGTTCTGTTGCGTTGTCTAATCATGTATGAATGAATAATGATATGAATTTGACAAGGCACAAAGTGTACAAAGGAAAAACAGAACAGAACGCGGCGAAAGCAGGACGAACATAAAGGACATGCAGACGAAATTTATTCATGCAAGTAAATGCGGGAAAAATGGAAAACGCCTTTTCTGCCGGGGAAGTGAGCCAGCGGAAATTTTGTTTGCCGTGATTTTAGCCATGTAAGGAAGCCACTGCTTCTCATTTTACATCCAGTGGGAAATCTCATTTTCCACAGTACAAAAAAAAAGAATCTGGGGTGCATTGCCTGCTTTTAATTACAACACTTTAAGCTTTCGACGGCACTAAGTAGCTGCAAGTGGCCGGAAAGTCTTTAGCTTTTAGCCCCTGGCAAAAAAATTCACTCCCCTCGGAAAAGCAGGTAAAATAAGAAATGGTATTTACATTTATTATTAATGTACTTGTTCTCTAGCTAAGAAACAGCAGCAGACACGAGGAAATTGCGTTGTCAGTAAAAGCTTGAAGATGTACGGCTGAGCCAGGAGTTTTCCCTGTTTTGTGTTATGAATCCTTAATGTCGGAGTTCATACTTATAAAAGGAAAAAATCCTGATAAGATTTTAATAAACAAATCCAAAATGCTTTAAGCTTTAATCTGAGGTAACAAAAGGTTTACTTAATGGGTTTTAGGGTATCAGTTACTTAGAGATAATTAAGGTTTTTTATTTATTAGCTTTATTTTTGGATGTTACTTTTTTTCTAATTATATAAAATCCAAAGCTAAGATTGTTATCAAACCTTAAAGCATTATCAATTTTAATAAGAAGCATTTCTCCTTACATGACTTCCCCATTAGCTAAACAGATATAAGCCCCTCGAATGAATCCTCCAGGGACATATTCCTCCGCCTGTAGTTGCCATTTTTATTGTACGATATTTTCCAGCTGAACATGCGCCTTTTGCTTTTCGCTCCCCTCTATGAGGTTGAAAAAATTACAAACACTTAAAGTTTGTTTGAAAATAAAATAAAAAGGCGCCGACACAAGGGCCTTTCGATGTTTGTCTGGGAATTTCCGTGTGTTTGTCTGTGGGGGATGCATAAAATATGCGTCAGACAAACGTACTTGCCTCGTGTTCAACGTATGCGGCATACATTTATGTGCCGCTTGTTCCTCGATAATTTATTTGGTCAGAGGAGCAAAAAGGAAGTCAAAAATTAGGCAGCGAGCTCGGTAACAATAAAATGCGAGGCGTGAAAGTGCCGCAGGCGAAAGTATTTAACACCAACAACAAAAGCACGCACGTCTTGCCGTCGCAGTCAAAAACAAATGGGCAGCAGAGAAAGCAGCGGAGAAAGCAGCAGAGAAAGCAGCAGCGAAAGCAGCGGCGAAAGCAGCAGCCAGGATAATTGCCCCAATGGACGTGGCAATTAACGGGCCGTGAGCCGCATGGAGACCAAAAGGACTTTCGACTTTGGCCGATGGACAATGAGCCGCAAGTTATGCAGCACAAATTGCAAAAACCTCTGGGGATGGAATATCTATAGGTAATGGTGGTGCTGCTGGTGGTGCTGGTGGTGGTGGTGGTGGTGGTGGTGGGTCGTAAAGTGGCATTGACAACGGATCAATGTTGCGGAGGACTTATAGTACCTTCGCTTCCGCCTCCTGCTCCAAAATTCAATCAACTTTCCTGTTTATTTGCAGGCCAATTAATTTTGGCAATCTAACCCGTAAAAGCCATCAACCCAAACAAGTGAACCCGGGAAGATAAGCCCTAGATAAAGACACTGAGAGAAGAGTCTTGCTATCAACGATACAAATCCAAAACATTCACTTCGAAAATCAGTTCAAAGATAAATTCACATAAAGCTTGAAATGATTTTAATGGGATTTGTGGTTGAGAGGATAGCAAAGTATCTAAAAGTTTAGCTAAGAGAATCAGTTCAGTGTTTTAGATCCAAATCCAATACTGCTTTTTAATTTATTTCAGTGCCTCGAGGCCGCTTTCGTGGCAGTTATTTCAAATGCAACTTGCCAGAGTGCAACATTTCATTTTGGCTTGCAAAACGCTCGAGAATTGACTCGACAAAAACCTCGACAAGCAATAAAAATGGCAAAAACAGAGACGAACTGAACCGAAACCAAACCAAACCAAAACCCAAGCCCAAACTACAACCAAAAAAAGGCATAAAACTGTTGCGAGAATGCTTCTTTTGGCGAGTGTGTTTCGTTTCGGGCCAAACAAAAACTGTGACAAGGCACAAAGAGCGCTGGCTGGCTGGCAAAAAAAAAAATGGCAGGACTAAAACAAATATTCAGCAGGAGGCAAACTTTATTTCAGTTTCAATTTGCGATAAAAACAGCGACAACAGTCGCCAGGGCAGCGGCAAATGAAATTTAACAACTCGCCGAGGAGCAAACTCGACTCGAATGGGAAATGCAATGAGAATGGGAATTGGGGGCCTGGATCGTTGGGGATTGGAGATTGAGGAGGCGGAGGCGGGTGGGCAGGGGTTGGGAAGGATAAGGCCAGGACATCGGGGGCGACTTGGCACAAAAGGCGAGCGAGCAATGCACTTCCCCCGTTGCAATTGCTGTCGCTGCTTGTTTTTGAACATTCATAATAAATTTTGCGCTGCGAACCTCCTTCGACAGCAAAAACAAAAGGAGCCTGAATATATATCCTTTTTTTGCTGCTATTGCTACTGCCACTATTCCTTTTTCCTTTTGCTGCCGCCTCCAACCAGTTGAAATGTAACGGATGTTAGAGTTGCGCACTGAAAATTATATATAAACAGGATATGACAGGCAGGAAGCCGTTGCCCCCCTCCCTCCCCTGCCACGCCCCCTAACTTCCCGCATTTCCAGCGATTTCCCACCGCCCCAAGTCGAAGTGCATTGCTAAGCTTTTTCCTCACTTTTTTTGCTGCTGCTGCTGCTGCTTCCATTTGGCCCCTTCTGCTGCTTGAATTTTAATGCCAAATGGCATTCCGGATTGAGCCAGGACCAAAGCCAGGTCTCCGACAGGAGGAATACCAGAGGAAGACCAGCTTCGGATGTGCCGCTGGCCAGGACTAAACGGCTATCAGGGGAAACAAGCCAAGGAGCAAGTGACAGGAGTAGCAGAAGCACCGGAACACTGACATAGATATGCGGACCGGGAACCTTATTTTTATATTTTTAATGTGGATTGTATTTATTTCTGTGCAATCGTTTCAAATGGTTGAAAGGTGAGCTATTAAAGAAGAATGGATAGCACTACTTCCTATTAAAACTTAAGAAATAATCTAAAATACAAAGGAAACTGTAAGAGTTGTAAACGATTTAAATGAAAACTCTTATTTTATACAGATAATAACCTTGTCTTTTTATCCCATCTAGATTACCTTGCTAAAATCATTTTGCAGTCCACTCCAAGCATTCTTGAGTAAGAAAATCTCGTCTTTTCCTCAAGATAAACGTACTCTACTGCATTTTAAGTGTTGAGCAGCAAAAACACTTTTCGACTAGATAGTAAAGCTGGAGTGGAGGTACGATAAAGAACGACTACTACTCCATTTGCTATATTTTATGCAAGCATAAACACAAGTGCAGAGCTCACATAAATCACGCATACGCACTGTGGCACACTGTCTGCCGCAAGAGGAAAAACTATAAATAAACCAGACGACACTATAAACAACAAAAGAATGGATAGTCCTTGGCTATAAACTCCACCGAAATATATATATTTATAATCCTTGATGGCGCTTTAATTAGCCCTACGAGGAAAGCATAATTCCCCGATAAACTTTAAAATCAAAACATCAAAAGTGGGATTCCGGTTGCGAATCCGGCGGATAAGAATGAGCTGTATGCTGTGCGGCAAGTCCGTCTTCCCTCGTCTTCATATTGAACAACTTTATCCAATTTCTCGTTTTGCGCTGAGACCAGCACATCGGGCATAAGCACGTACAAATCGCATTTCTTAGGCTCCTTCCGCCTTCCTGCCGCCTTTCTGCCTTCCGCTTCCTGCTTCTTATCCTTTTTTATTTGCCCCTGCATGTGGGCCAGGCTTTGGTTGTTTAGCTGTCAGATTTACTTGTCTCACTGGGTCGTCTGAATATATCCTGCCTGCCTGCCTACGATGTGTGTGTACGGGTGTGTGCTATAAATCGACAGCTAAATCTGCAAAAACATTGATAAGACAAGCGACATGCCAATGCGGCCAAAGGCATTTTGCAAACACCCCCTCGTGATTTAACCCAAAATACCAAAACGAACCGAAAATGTTTAGCCAACTTGCTGCGAAATTGCTTTTCGATTTATTTCTCTATATATATTTGTAGCAGTATACGTATATATATATCGTATGCATGTCTGTCTGACAAATTGGGAGAGAGGTAAGGCATTGTGACAAATTAGTCTGTGGGCATTTGTTGTTGGCTGCTGTGTTGGCACAAATTATGAGATCCTTATCGTCATCTCTACGATTGAGTAATAACCCGAGTGGGAGACACAATGTTTGCAAAGGGAGCGAGATGCAGATGGGTGTGTTTGCCCCATTTCGGCCTGGGAACTGGGCCAAATTGGTTTGATTTGCTTGTTTGCCGGAATAAAAACTAAAATTGTGGAAAATAGTTGGCAGATTCTCCTGGCACAGCATAGCGGGTGGAATTTCAATTAAATAAGAGTTATGGGGAAATATTCCATGGTTTTATTAAAACGTTGAAATACTGATGAACTTTACTGGTTCGAACAATAGTTATTAGCACAGGAGGTTGTGGTTTCAAAGTTGTTTTAAAGGTAAAAAAATATGTTTCACATAAAAAACTTTTAGATACAACGTGTGTGTTTTTAATAAAAACAAACCACTTTTTTCGCTTTTAATCGATTCTATTCTATAAATGGTATTATAGTCGGACTCACCTAACGTCTTGGTCCACTGGGCGGTGGGTCGCCAGTCGGGATAATGTTTGGGGAAGAGTTCGCGGGTCCAATAGGTGTGCAAGACAACCTTGTAGACTGCCAGGCGATCCAAGGTGCAGCCCGTTTGGGGGGCGGGCTGGGTGGCAGGGGGCGTGGCCAGGGAGGCCGTTGGATTAGCATTCAAATTCGAATTGGGACTGGGATCATCGGTGTAGTAGTAATTACGATTCAGATTGGAATTGGAATTCAGATTGCCATTCTCGTCGGCAAACTTGATGTTGTCTCTGCTCTGCAGCTTTTCCGGCTGACTTTCCACACTGTAGGCGTAAATCGAGGGGTTCGAGATGAAGGAGGCCCCATAAGAACTGGCGGCACTCGCTCCCAAAACGATGGAGGAGCCCAGACCGAAAAGGATCAACAGCAGCCAGTGGGCCAGAAAGTCTGTTTTCGGTGTCGCTCCCATTTCGTCAAATGTTGCGTGCTAATTCGCTCGCCCTCTCTCGCTTTTTCCTTCGCCGGTGCGGAGCTATTTTCGTTTTGATATAATTTATATTTCTCGCTCTTACACTTCACATTTGCCTTCGGGCCGTCGCTTAAAAATAAATGCACACACACTCGCGGCACTCACATATTTATTTTTGGTTTCTTCAACTTTGTATGCTCTGCGTTTTCTTCACTTTTTGGACTTTTGGCGCGCAGCAAGCTCCACAATCTCGATAGGGATGATATGGCACGGACGTTCGACAACCGCCCGCGTTGAGAGTTCGTCGCGGACTGAGCGAATGTTGCGGCAGGCAATGAAAACAAGGGACAGCGGGAGAGCACTGCTGGGGAAGAGAGCGCCAAAGCGGGAGTAAATGAACCATCCTTTGCCATTGAGAGAGAAAAAGAAAGGGAGAGAGCGAAAGTGCCGTGTTGGGGAAATTCTCTTATCCAACTGTTGTTGGGGTAGAGCAAAAAAAAAGGAACAGCCTGTTGAGCTTCCTGATAAATATTGGTTTTTTAAACGTAGGTTTTTTATTAAATGGAATGTCTTACCTTATTGAACTCGTGATTAAACATGGTTTAGAGTGAAAGTTTCATCTCTTTTAAAATTTAAATATACTTTTCAAAAACATTAGAATAACATTTAATAATAATGAAATGTGCTATCATTATGAATGTCAGTCCTTCGAACATTATCTTCAAGACTAAGATATGTAATTAACTTACCCGCAAAGCACTTGACTATTCCCCAAATGAACTCGCATTGTTGGCTTAACCCACGACTGCGATTAACCCCCTGTGATTATTGTGGGTTGTGTTGTGCTTTTCCGTTCCACTCCGCTGTTGTTGTTGTTGTTGTATCCGATGATTGCCAGAGGCTTAGTCGCATTTATTGCACATTTCCTTTCTGCCATTTCTGAATGTCAGCGTTAATGAGGCGGGCTTACCCAGCGGGAAAGTGGGAAGGAGGTTTTTAGAGTACTTGAAAACCTGCTTCTTTTAGCAGGCGTAGCGGTAGGAGTAGAAAATTTCGGACCGCTAAATGGGGTGGGTTTCTGAATATGACCTTAAGTTACAACGAAGTTGTGACTAATTATTGTCTTTCTTCAGAATATGCACGGTCACATCAGTATAAAATGTCGTGCAAAATGTGTCAAAAGTGAAAAAAGTTAAGTTTATTCTAAAAAACAAAATAAAGGTAAGTTATAACATAAATGTTTTTGTTTGTATATCCTTATTTCAGCGTTACGGATATGGTGAACATAAGCATTTTTACGAAAACTAAATATTAGCCGCCAGAGGCGGTTGTCAAGTAAGTAAGTAAGTTTTTTATTTACATTTATTTTCAATTTCACAAGAACAAACAAATGTTTCTTTTCATAAAATTTGTAATAGATTCGACATCAAATATTCTGGCCCATATATCAATATTAATGGCAAATCTGAACGTGCGCAAGCGGGCATTTCCGATTTCATCATTTCAAGAACTCGGCCATTTGGACTCCGATGCCGAAGCCAATCCAGGAGCATTTGTAAGTACTCACTACATTTTTAATAAATTTCAATAGCCTTGCTTGTTACTATGTAATTACATTTTTTTTAAATTCATATAATAATTTCTCCAACGTACTGTATGGTAAGTATGCTTGTTTTTCTAAATTTCTCTATTTTTCCCAATACTTTTTATATATTTTTTGATTTGTATTAATATGTTATATATTAATATATTGTGGTTTTTATTTTCAGAGTCACTCAGAAACGACAATTACAGTCTTCGCCAATATCAAGATGATCTGCGTTCATCGTTCACTGGGGCAAAAAATATAATATACAAAAATACTTATGACAAAGGTCCTTGGACTGTATATAGATTAATAAATGCATATACCAAATTAAAAAGTATTGTTTTTTACATGTGGAAATTCTGTAAAGCGGGAAGGCCAAAACCCAGTGGATTTTGGCCTGTATTCAGCAGCCGTAGGTCCACTGGATTTTGCCCTGCATTCAGCAGCCGTGGGTCCACTGGTTTTTGTTCTGCTTTCAGCAGCCAGAGCATCCACAGGTTTTTGGCCTGCAAACCTCCTTTACCCCTTCCTTTTGTGTGTCACCCCCGTGTATTTTGAAAGGAGAGACGGCAAAAATGTAAGGAGTGAAGGAGGTTTTTGCCCTTCCGCTTGTATGAAGAAACCACTGAAAAATAGCATATTTTCCACATCTTTTTTCCCGCTGGGTATGTGTGTTCAGACTATTCACACACACACACGCACACACATCTATCTATCGCAATCTGCGAAAGTGTGTGTGCGACAGCTCGACTATTACTATTGTGCTCGAACAATGAGAACAATTTCCGATTAAAACCAATTGAAGCTCTTTAATTGCTACAATTCAATTAAACAACACGCTAATGGCAACAGAACGGCAACAGAAACTATCGATTTATTGAGTGGGGGTTGCTCGGCGGTCAGCGGTCTATCATTCTTTCAGAACTTCACTTGAACCCACTGACGGTAATTGCCATTGACATGTGCCCCCGGTGGCAATTACCCCGCCCCCTTTCCCCTCCTTTCCGCCCCCGCATCCATCGGCCATTCCGAGAAGTAGGATTCTTCAGGTGGGAGCTTCCCGAAACTTGGACACACACAATTATGTTGCACTTAAATGAGTTGTACGTGTCCTGACCGACTGTTCGTGTCCTGTGTCCTTTATAGATCGTGTTGCCGATACGCTTGAGTACTTCAATGCACTCGAAAAATAATGTTGTTAAATAATCAATGTAAGTAGTAAGCCATTAAACACACCACTGCTGTTTTAGCTTCAAAGGATATCAATGAAAATAAATAAATAAGGATTATAAACACACATATTTTGTTTTATTTTATTCGCTTTTAATAAATAATCTAAAAACGACATTCTTAGCGGTTATTCTTTTCCAAGTGTATTTAAATTGTGCGTGCGTGAAATTTATTGCAGTTAATAATAATTGTCCATTCTACTTGAACGACGACCACAACGATAATGTGTTTCCCCACCCAATTTGCCGTGTTTCCAACCGCCTGTGGTCAATTATAAGCGGACAGTCCGCCATTTGTCTAAGACGTGGTCAATGCCGGGTTGCCTATCTGCCCTTTGGGCCTTTTTATGGGGCTTTAAACGTCGGGCCATTAGTTAAGTGCGTCATACACAAATATACAGGTCTTAGCGGAATTTATTCAAATGAGGTGTTAATGTCCGTTTGGGGTAATGTTGATTAACCAAAGGAAGAGAGATACAATTTGTTTGTCGATAACTGCTGGTGGTTTTCATACTAATCATTGTTGTTCGTTTTAATGATTGTGATTTAGAAATTTAGAAAAAAACATTTACAGCCAGTTTTATTATTATTAAGGTTCGAATATGAAACTTTATTTTCACATAATCAAATCATTATTTATTTTGCAATATTTACAACATTTTTGGAATTCATTCATTCAAATAAGTTGTTAATAAAACAATGGGAAATTTTCTCCATTTCATCCTTTGGACAGCGCATGAGTTCTCTCTCGCTCACTTTCCCCGCTCTCTCTCTCTAACTTTTGCTCTCATTCTAGTCTCGCTCTCATTTACTCCCACCTGAGCAGACAAGACATTTGTGTTTGATTGTCGGCGAAATACGGTTATAATCCATTCAGCCAAAGTAAAATCCCAAATACATGAACCTGAAGAGACATTGGGAAAAGAGACGGTGGACAGATTTGGGGGAAAATGCAGACGGTGGCCCCCTAAAATATTCGATGGCTCATGAGGCGAGCCAGCAAACGGCAAAAATTCCTAATAAAGTTGGCATTTGCCAAACAGACACGCAGACGTGCAGACAAACAGGATCCGTATTCCCCCCCTCACACACACACACACACACACAAGTAGCACACCTCCCCGAATATTTGCCCATCTTTACCTGTTCGCTGTTGCTCTTATTGAAAGCCGCACGAACACAAAGCCACCGAAATGCCACCCAGCGACTGTTGATGCACCTGCCACATGTCGGATGCATTTCCTCCTGGAAACCCGCGGATGCTTTGCCGGCATATTTGCATAAAAACTATGCATCTGCTTGCCACACAACATCCCACATATATTTCTTTTTCTTTGCTTATTTTTTTGCAATAAATAAATCCACTAAAAATAAGCCAAAAAGTGTATTGAAGGCACCATAGAATATCATCAGAAAGTCAGAATACTCGAAATGTTTCACTGTCACACAAATCACAATGAGCAACAAATTTGCATGTTGCTTTTGTGTTTGGCCCACAATGAATTTGCAGTTTCTGGCATCTAATTTTGGGCCACAATTTACCGGATTGATTCTTCACTTAAAATTCAGTTGACAATCTGTAAGCTTAATTCCAAATACCTAATTGCAAGCTACTCTGTTTTCCCAAGGTAAATGAGATAGTTTTGGCATCATTTTACATATATCATCTCACATTTAATTTCCTTCCAATGATATTTCTCTGGCGCAAATTTAATATTTATCACACTGAAACATACTTAAAATTCCGAGAAAAAATGGAGATATATGTCCCGTGTGTTAAAATATTTCTATCGTGTAGGTAATTTATCAAAAATGTGGTCATCCTCTCGGGGGAGAAAATAATGTGGTAAGAGGGGGAAGTATTAAGTCCAAAGAGGAAATGGCCGGGTTCATTAAAAATGCTTTGGCACCCGTTCTAATTCCACAAATCATTCTCCCTTAAGTCGACGTAATCCAGTGCAACGCCAAAAATTTGTCAGTTTCCAAAGGCTTAGCGCATAATTTATGTTCTACGGCGTCGGTCAGCCATAAGCAAATACACATAGTTATGATATAAATAAATAAATTTACAAATTCGTTCGGTTTGCTTTGCTGGTCAAACATATCCGCTTAAATTATTATGATGCCAAAAAATTGGAATTTGATTTTTGTATGCTGATGACGCAACACTAACTTCCAGCAAAGTGAAACCAATTGATATAGTTTAATGCAAATTAAATGGAATAACATTTATTTTCGGTCAGTCTGTCTGTGGCTAGATTTCATTAGCCGCCAGTGCAAAAATCCATTGAAAATCAATTAAAAATACATATTTGTGTAAAAGAGCAACGGGCTGTTGTTCGCTTTTTTTTTGATTTTACCCTATGCACAATTGTCTGACCACGAATTATATAATTTCAATTAGGTTTCGGGGACTACCACTGCCCTTGTAGTTGTGACTCTGAAAACGCAATTCATATTTGGCGGTAATTATGCGGCGATTGC